CATCCAACAGTCCAGGAGTTCAAGAATCTCGATATAACAAAACGTACTCTCATCCACGAGGGCCCACTCCAGTGGCGAATCGTCAATCGTCCAAAGCCCGTGGATCTCCACGTGGTACTTCTAGACGACACTATTCTCCTCCTCCATCGGCAGGACGAGAAATACCTCCTCAAGTTCATGAATACGAATCAAGTAAACTCTGTACTCAGTCCAATAGTCAAAGTATCCACTGTACTAGTTCGTAACAATGCTGTTGATAAAAATTCTCTTTACCTGGTGAATACATCTCAGAAGGGGGCGCAGATCTATGACCTAGTGGCAGCATCACCAGCAGAGTGCAAGCTCTGGTGCAAACACATATCAGAGGCTGCTGATACGTACAACAAGGCGAGAAGTCGAGAGGGCAGAAGGCCCTCGTCACCACAGACTGCCATGAACAATAGCAGTGAAGAGACACCTGAGGCCAGTACCCTGGACAATCCGGACAAGGATAAGACCAAGGAGGACGATCCTGACACCACTGAGAGAGAGAAAATTGGGGAGAAACGACCTGAGGCGAGTGAGCAATTTTTAATGAGTGATCGAGAGTCTGGAGGGAGTCCTGGAGATGGGGGGAAGGAGTCGTCGAATCCTGAGGGCTCTGGATCTTCCCCTGGAGGTTCTGGTGGGGCCACAACTCCTGGACAGGAAATAAAATCCCCGGAGGAGCCCAATGCTGGGATTGGAGAGACCATGAGACTCGTAACGTGCACCCAGTGCTCTCTGATTGATCCAACGGAGGTGCATGCTGAGGTCAGACCTATTCATGTGGCTGAACCCAGGCTCACACCCATTGAGAGACTTAGGAGGAAGGACCTGGTGATAAGGGAGGCACTTGTTGAAAAACAGGTACTCGTTGCCGATATTCTTTGTATTCCTAAAGAAGATTTTGAGCACGTCGTTGACATGGCTGATATGGCATCAGAGCAGACTACTCTGGAGAAGGAACCTGCTGAGCTCATTCTCGCTGCTATTAATCAGGCTAATCAGCTGGTTAGTTTGATAAATATGGCACTAGTGGTGACTGAGTCTGAGGCTGTTCTTGCTGCAAAGGGCTCCAGCGGTGGAGGATGTGGCTCTGCTGGATGTCCCATCCCCAGGAGCAACTCTGAGTCCAGGCCCAGTGTTCCTGTTGCCTCTTTACAACCTGTTTGTCATTCTCTTAATCTGCAATTGTCTCAGCTATTGGTGAGTCTCTTTTGGAGTCCCAATTAGTTTATAATATTCAATAATCGTGTGGATCAACGAGCAGAATCATAATAATTACTTTGAACTAATCCGTATTAATGGTAATACACATTTTTTTTTTAGGAAATTGTTAAAGAGAGAGAGGGCGAACGAGAGCGACTACGAAAGGAATTACGTAGAAGTAGAGAACGTCTCCATGCATTTGACGTGGACGCGCAAAAACGTGAGCACATCCAATCACATTCAAATACTAGCCAAACATCCCCAGAATTGGTACCCTCATCTTCATCAGCAGAGGGTGGACCAGATAATTCCACGAGGGATGAGTTCGTCGATGCAAACGAGGAGTCGACACCCCAGGCTAAATCAGACGAGACAAAAGACACTGTCAAAACACAAGTGATGGGTGATTGCGTAGGCTGATTACTGAATAATCTTCAGTCACATATTTATTAATCACATATATCTTGGTGCATTTTACTAGGGCGTTCGAACGTGGCTGCTCGCATCGGAAGAAGTAAATCAGTTAATCAAACGAAAAAATATTAAAAAAAAAAACAAACACCATTGCCAGCTGTTCTATAGGCTTAACGTTGTTCAATATTTCGCTTAATACTGATTTTCGATGGGAGTTGAATTTTTTTTAATGCCTTTACTCAGCGAATTTCATGTAAATAGATTCGATATATTTTTCTCCCCGTTATTCTTTCGTTTCAATTTATGACACAGTATCACATCATCAATGATGAACAATTTATATTAATATATTTTTCATTTTTTACTAACTGCGTAATGCGTAGGATTTTAATACGACGAAAAAAAAATGTTGAAATGTTTTTTCGATGTTTTATTGACATCTGAAATGATGTGATGCAGCTGAGAATATTAATTTAAGTATAAAGAGGAATTTTGTACAGGATAATCATTGAATCGTGGAGTCTTGTGAATTTCGGATGACACATTTTTACATTGGGAATTTTTTTCTTTCTTTTTTCGTGTGGGAAGGGTGAGGGTTTCAATTATTTCGGGGGTTGGAATTGGGGTGGGGGCGGAGTAATGAGCAATGTTTGACGTTGGTATTATGAGACCCCTCCACCCCATGGGTCTCCCACTCTTTGCCCACTCTCCCTACACCTGGGAAACACTTATACAACAGATACAATTAATAATGCAATTACTATGGAAAAAAAATTAATGAAAAATCATGGGGCTAGCGAGCCATCAACGTATATTGAATCTCTGTCTTCATTAATTTACAATTTATTATACGGAATTTAGTAATGAGATACCATTATTATTATATACACTGTACATGTATAAAATATTTAATAACATTATTATTTACAATTGTATACAAATTATTATGTGAGAACTTATTCAGCCTGACCC